CCTTGTTTTCTTCACTCTCAGTATTGGCAATGGTAACATCCGTCTGCACTTCAATATCTGTAGTATGGTCATCAACTCTCTGACCTCTCTGGCTTTGTTTTTGTGCTGTTGTTTGATCAGAAAAGTCTTCTGGTGTTGCTGCTGTCTGCAAATCCATTTCTCTTTGATTCTCTGTTGTACCGATGCGTTCTTTGATTAACTTGGTATCGTTTTTGTTAGTCTCAGGAATTTGAATCATTAGGCCTTCTTGTACCTTTTCCGATATGTTTGCTGTGGGTTCAGAGGCTTTGCTCTTCTTGACTTCAGTTTCTTCTGTATTTGCTGCATCAAAAACCTCCTCTGGTGTTGTTGCTGTCTGTAAATCCATTTCTCTTTGATTTTCAGTTACAGTGACACATTCTTTGATAACTTCGTTTTCATTTCCGTTACTCCCGGGAGTCTGAATCACGGGGCCTTTTTGAACCTTCACAAAAGCATCTTCTGCGGGTTCAGTGGCTTCTTGGCTGTTCCCGACTTGTGTTTCTATTGTAGGTGCCAAATCAGAAACCTCTGATGATGTTGCTGTAGTCTCCATGTCCACTTCTATTTGAGTCTCAGCAGCAGCATTAACACATTCAACATACACCCTGCCTTCATCTTCAGTGCTCTGACTATTTCTAATTGGAAGTGTCTGTGCTTTATCAGACACGTCTTCTGTTCCTCCTCCTCCGGTTTGTGAACTCTCCTGGCTTTGTTCTTCCATTGTAGAGATCTCTGATGTCATTATCGTCACACCCTCAGGTCCACTAGTAAAATCAACTTTCACCACATCTTCATTTTCCAATATTTCAGAATTTCCAATAACAACATCTGGTTGACTCTGAATAGATAGGTTTGTGGTGCATTCAATGACTTCCTGGCTTTTAACCTCAACTGTAGGTATTGGACTACAAATCTCTGATGTTGGTGTAATCTGTGTTTCTGTTTCCCCTTGGCTCTCAGGTCCAATAGCCAGTTCAAAGGTTACTATGCCCTTATTTTCCACTGTTTTGGAGTTGACCCCATTATCCTGATTACATGTGGTAGATTCCTCGCTCTCTTGGCTTTGTATTTCCACTGTTGCATCCTGATTAAACATTTGATGATGTGATGTAGCCGAAGCCTGTAAATCCATTTTGACTTGACTATTATGTTTAATCTTCATTTCTTCTTCCATACTTGTGGAATTTTCCTCGACCTCAACAATTATTTCTGTAGTTTTCTCATTCACTCTGTGGTTCTCATGGTTTTGTGCGGAGTCAGACATCTCCTCTGTTGTTATTTTAGTCTGTGTGTTCACGTCTATCTGACCCTCTGAGACTGTGACACAAGCGGAAAGCACCTCACTGTGAGTCTGCTCTTGAGCAGCCTTACAATCTGGTGTCAGTGTTTCTACACAGCTTTCAGTCGTCCTGACCTCTTGCCTCAGTTGTACATCAGTTAAAGACTGCGGCCCCTCAACAACCTGACTCGACAGGAACTCCACTCCTTTTCTTTCACTGTCTTCAAGCTTTTCTTCAGACTTTCTGATTATATCGTTCACATCGCATGAGTTGGAATTTCTACCTGTCACTTCATGGCTTACTCCATCCTGTAGATGGTCAGACTTTGATTCTGCTTTAAAACTAACTTGAATTTTAAAACTGAGGTCTGTTTGAGTCATTGGGTTGCCAACAGACTCTGTTGTCGTCGTTACATTTTCCTCAGTCTGTCTATCAGGAATTCGACCTATGCTTTTATCGTGACACAGTGATTCTATACCTGCAGAGATACTGGCTGCTTCAACGACTCCCTGCACTTTATGCGCTCCTTCCTTACTTTGACATTTGATATCTAACCTCACCTCCTCAGACACAGATTCTGTGGCCTCCTTTATGTCAGGTTTACTGCTCACATCCCTCTGAGCTGAATCTGTCTTCTCATTTGCCTCCCTAGAATACAGTTTATCCTGTGGAGAGGCTTGTGTTTCATTATCTGAACCCTTTTGACTTTTTAAGGAATCCTCAAGGTCTGTCTTTTCACTTTCTCCTACCTCCGATGTGATGCCAGGTGTATCTGTAACTTCACTGGCACAGTCTAGAGTTTCTCTACATGATGCAGGTGCTTCCTTATCCTCCAGCCTCTGGTTTTCTGATGTTTTTAATTCCTCATGCTTACTTTCATCAACAGACACCAATGTTTCCTTTGACTCTTCTTGGGCAGCATGAATTAAAATGTTGCTGCCCTCACTTTCAGTAACAGATTCTTTTTTCTCATCCTGAAAATTTTCACTCACACTTTGCCCACTTAATGAATCAGAAAATCTACCATAATTATGGTCCATCTGAATGGTGCCCCCCGGTTCTGATGGGGAGCCTTGGCTTGTTTCCTGAAGGTCAGACGGCAGCTCTTCAGCTTTGCGCTTGGCTTTTACTCTATTAGAATATTTTCGGATGCAGCGGGCCTTGTCACCTTCATCCCTCTCTCTGAAGAGGTCAGTCTTACTACCATCACTACTGAATTCATCCTCTGACTCTGTGGAGGCTGTTCGCTTTAGGGAAGCTTTGGTGTTAGCTTTGGAGGGAGCATCTTCACAGGAGGCACTTGTGGCTTTTAGGAGCTTGGCTTTTTTAACAGGTGGATCAGAAATGTTTTTGCTGGAATCCTTTGGAGGGGAACTCTGTTTGGATGACTTGGCAGGCTTAATTCCTCTTTCCGCTGAGGCAGACCGTTTTTTCTTAGTCCTGGGAGCTGCTGTCGTTTCTCCTGCAGTTCCTGTTTTAAGGGCTCTATTAATGGTAGCTGGTGCAGTTTTTGATGGCAGAGCCTCCCCATCCTCATCTGGCCTCTTCATCTTAGGCTGAGAGTCATGAGGAGCTGGTCCTCCTTCTGAGGCCGGCATCCTGTCAAAAACATTTGACAAAAACTGAGTAAGTTCACCACGATATAGCCAGGGCAACAGAGGAGATGCAACTTAATTCTAAATATCTGTTTAGTATAATAAGCAAGAAGTAACATGTAGGGCTGGGAAATTAATCGAGTTTCAATTTGAATTTCATCTTCCAACGATCACAAAAACAAGCGATTACTGTGCCTCACGTCGTGTTTCTCTCGCTTGTCCAGTTTAAGTTATGTTTGTTTCAAAGTGTTTGTTATCATATTTTGAACACGAGTACATCACCACTATCTCTAAAACATAGTCATTTACAATTTACTCATTATATATTCTTATTTTTTCACTTAATTACTGTTTGCTTTTCAGTGTGTTCAGAGTGTTTACATTCGATAATTACACGTGATCCATATGTTGTAATATCGTGTTTACAATTAGTGATTACCAGCACCCCCCCTCCCCCCGATCCCTGCTTGAACAACCTTGCTCCCTATCCCTCTTCCTGCATTTTATCCCATCCCCACATTAAGAGTAAGGTCTTTAACCTGCTTTTTGTAAAGTGTCTTGGCACTATACAAATAAAGATTGATTTATTGATCCAAAATAATCGTGATTTTGATTTTTGACATAATCGAGGAGCCCTAGTAATAAGCCTCCCTCCCAGTGGTGTAGTGCAGGGAATAAGCAGGTTTACAGAGTATACCCACTTCTAAATCTCCTCTGATTGATTGACAGTATTCAGTAGGATGGTGAAGGGATGACCCTCCCTACTCTGTCTCTAATTGGCTAGTACACACTTACTTAATATGCAAGAGGAGTCTTATGTTTATCCTTGAGGAAAATTAAGAGTATGCCCACTTCTTCAGGCACCTCTACACCTCCTGTTTAACTTTTCTGTAGAGTAATGAGATTAGGAGAAGATACCATCACACAACAGGATAAAAGACATTAATCCCAGTCCAAAAAAGAAGAACAGTGTTGAAGACTACTGTTTTTGTTATTGTTAAGCAAATAAATGATGTCTTAGGTGGTTATTCTACCAAGCAACACGGCTAACGTGGGACATAAACACAGGTATATCGCAGTTTAAAAGGTGGCAGGCGAGTCACACAATGTACGATCTATATCTACTCACTTATTCACCATCATAAGTAACTATCGCAATGACTGTTTCAAAGCCCCACGTATTTGTTTGTCACCAGTAGCTGTCGGCAGAAACAGAAATGGTCAGTTGACTAGCTCGGAGTGGCTAGTTGTGCTAGCTTCAAGTGCACAGCGGTGGGAGCTAACAGCTAGCAGCTAACTCGCAACAAATGAGCGAAAAGAGACTTCGTTATTCAAGTCAGCAAAACAACATCCAGACACACGAAGAGGATCGTGGGAAGAGCATTTCTTACGGTATTTAAGTCTGCGAGGATATGAAGGCAAGGCATGCGCCAAGCAAATGTAGTTTGATGTTTTCTTTTTCAACAACAGCTGTTTTTTTTTTTTTTCCTGTGAATAAAAATTAACTGTACTTCCGGAGGGAAACGGCGGAAGTGACGCAGAATCCCACCGGGCACAAAACTCGAGATGAAAGTTTTAGGAATTTTATTACGGTGTTTTACTCTTTTTACGTTTATTTATTTTTAACCGGAGGCGAACAAAGACATCTATGGTTACCTTTTTGTTCAAAATCAGCCGAAACTAATTTAGTGATCGTTGTACTATAAGGAAAACATGTCTTTAATTATTTTTAATATTAATATTATTTATTAATAATAATAAATAATAATAATAATAATTATAATCACTTTTTGAACCACCAGCCTTTCGGTTGAGAGACAACCGACAAGACAAAGATACATAAAAAAAAACATTTTTATTATAAAAACTGCCAGTGAATATGTTTTTTCTTAAATCTTAAAAGATGAAAGCTGAACACAACAAATAAATCTTCCTGATGTGCTGAAATTGATTCAGCTTTTTTATATTTATCCTCAATATTAATTTACAGCAAAGCTCTGAGGACATTTTAAAAAACACTTTTGTCATTTAATTTTTATGGATAGACTCAACAGGATTGACTTTAGTGAAAAAATGCACAATTACCAGACAAGAAACAAGCCTCCATTTTTTCTGAGATTTTATTTTTCAGACAATGCAGATATGTCATCACCACATCACATTAGTTTGAGGCAAAACAAGTGCAGTATTCTACAGTTGTTAGAAATAAATATACAGAAACAATCCAATATAAAGGCATTCTTACCAGTGTTCAGTTCAGCGAGCGAGGGGAAGTTATATTCATTGATCAATGTACTGACAGCTGACAGTAAAGAGAACAGCGGGAGGGATAAGAGCATGAATAATGACATTGTGAGTGCATAAGTCACTGTTACTTTTTCATTTCTAAGATTCCACTTCCCGGCCCACGCCTCTTTGCACTGCAGATGTTACAAAACTGCACACCAGGAATCTATAAGGAAGGAGAAGGTACAGAAGTCTCAACATCAATCACTCAGTCACTCGGGTTCTTTGAGACACTAACGATGAAAAATCTAAAAGTTCTGAGAGAGACACTCACGGTTCCTGCAGAAGGTAAACACTCCTTGTGAAACATGTGTCTGCAGTGAAACACCACCACATTAAAGGGTTTGGCCATGTCTGAAACACATGTTTGTCACATTATCAGCCATGACTCAAATGCTCAAATGCATCACAACAATAAAAAAACAACATGGATACCTAACTAGAAACCTACCTGATGGTAATATGGTAGCATGACACGATTCACAAATGTTCTCCTCTGAAAGTAAAAGCAAGCACTTGTATGAGTATCGATCAAAGTGACTTAATATCGAATGAATCTGCTTCAGGACCGCCAAGGAAAAGGTTCACCCACCATCCATCCGGACTCCTCTCATCTGTGTGCGGTGCATCTTCTGGAGCAGGGAGAGGGAGTCGGCCACCAGGATCTTTTTACAGCCTTCCCTCAGAAGAATCTGAGAAAAAAACAAAAACACCACAACAGGGAGTAAATAAACAAGTTATTACACTATGTTATGTCCTTAAAATAAGCAACATTATTGTATCACTAAATATTTTCCTGGGAGCTCCTGAGTGTTTATCCAGCTCTGCATGGGTCTGTAAACCTTTCTGTGTTCTAACCTCTTCCATTTTTCAAAAGCATCTCCAATATTGATCCTAGTTTGAGCACGTTTCTGCTCCTGGAGCTTATTAGAAACATGCAGAGGCTTTTTAGGTCGGGTACAATCACTTCTATCTGGACCAGTTCTCTTGCCCGCTTCCATCGCTGCAACACCTGTTGGTTGACCTGATAACTGCTCTCATATCTGGCAAACCGAGGGGTGTCCAAAACGGCCATGTGGGGGTGCTTTAAAACCGCCTACCTTCTCTGGTCCAAACAAATCCAGAGCATTCAGGACCAGAATCTAAAGTTAGAAGGAGGACATACTGGCTGCTGCATTGTTGTCAGAGAAGCCAGCACTTCAACATAGCATGTTTCCTTTATGTCTGATCAGATAGTAAGGTCACTTCATCATTTCATTCACTACACATCTCACTGACTGCTCATTTTATAGATCTTTGTGTTTTTGACACAAAAAAGGGTAGACGTGTTTTGCTTGATTTAGAGTTAATCTGCAGCAGGATATTTAACAGAACTTCTTAATGTCTCTTGTTGACTTATTCAATATTTATAAAACCTTTTTCTGAGTTTAATTGAATCTGTTGTTTTACTTTTTATTCAACCCAGACATTTAACCCTAACTTGTGAATTTAATTATTTATTGCTCGTTTGATATCATTGTCTTTTCCCTTTTATCTTCTTTTTTTTTTTTTAAACTGAATACAAGCTACACGTCAAGCGAGGAACCCTGTTCACACATCATCCAAATGATTTTGAAGAAATAACCTCATGTACGGTCAGTCTTACTTGCAGATTGTAGTCCTGGAGGATTTTTACTAGTGAGTCTCTGAGGTTTGGTATCTCCATGCCCTCCTTAATGCGATGGATGAGCAGGATGGGATCCACATGCGTGCCGATGTTATTAAGGAGGCCGGTGATGAACGCTGGGGAGTGATCGACGGACACACAGAAAGCAGAGGAGTGTTATACAAGAGAGAAAATGACAGAATCTAAAATAAAAATACAGGAAGAGGACGAGAATAACTGAGTCAATAGGAGAGTGTCTCATACGTGGTTTGTCAATAGAGTAAGAGATGAGGTCCTCCCACAGCTCTGCATCATCCTGCTCTTTGGCAAACTCGATGGCCTTGTCCACGTCCTCCAGCTCCTCCATGATCATCTGCAGTGCCCGCCTGCAGTTACCCATCCTGCCTGAAAGCAACGTGCTGGATTACTTTGATTTTTCATCATTTCAAACACACTTAAAGTAGGAAACGCCTACCTTAACACACAGTATGTATTTAGTCTCTGCCTCCATACGGACGCTGACTTATCGCACTTGTGAAGCTTTGAAACAGAGCTTTTTTCTCTGTGTTGTAAGACTTATGCAAACCACAAACAAAGGACTGGATGGGTTTATTTCACATTTTGTGGGTCAGTAGACACTTACCCAAATATATGTTGTGTGAAAAAGTGGATTTTTCATGCTATGTTCCCTTTAAAATCACAATAATATTATATTGTGCCTCAATTATCATCATATGGTATTGTGGGGCCTCTGGTGATTCCCACCCCTAATACTGTACGCATGATGGAGTAAGCACAAACCTCAGTAGCACATATATCATATACAGTAGGTGTAGTTTTTGGGGATGTACCTTTGACTAGAACTTACTGAGCAAGAAGACGGTCTCCTCTACAAAGTTCCTCTGCTGACAAACCTCCAGGGCCTGAGAGGAAACGAGGTGACACATCATTAATGTCCTGCAGAGTCTTGAAACTTGCAGTTTATATAGGATATATGTACGATGTAATGATACAAGTATTACAATGTTTTACCTTTTCAAGGGGGCAGTGCGTGCTGTCCCTCAGGAAAGGCAACAGATTTGGACGGTCGTACTCGGCATACAGGACAATCTGCCTCTCGTGGTATCTCTGGCCTTTGTGGTGGTCCCGCTTGAACAGTTTATGGAGGTACTGTGTGAAGAAAATGATTTTAATTAGCTCTGAGTTCAATTCCATGAGTGAATCTGGTTATGTTTAAGGATGTATCAACTCACCACGTGCAGAAGCTCGGGCCTGTCTGCCAGTTCCTCCACCACCCTGTCTGTCTGTCAGTGAGAGGAGAGAAACAACATCAGCAGGCAGCAGAGTCACATCAGTTAATTTAAGACTGAGGGGAGCCAGGTACACTTACTGATATCTTGTCTTCATTATCCAGAAGCATGTCAACAGCTTTCTGACAGCACACATACAGTGGATATATTACTGACCAGTGTCTTAATTCGGAGGATTTTTAAAAGACTCAACATGACAATAAAATGACTCAATTAACATCCGTCCATGATGGGGATTCTACCTCTTTGTCAAAGTCCATTAGGAGCACGATCTTGTCTTCTATGGAGGAAAACAGGTTGTGTTTGTGGATCAACTGGTAAACATCTTTGTGCCTCAGCTTCAGGTAGATCTCTAAGGCTCTGTCGTACCGCTGGTCATATGTGTACCTGGAATCAAACACAGATAGGTTGCTAGGTAAGATTCAATTTTATCAGCAGAAATGATCAAGTCGTTGAGAGTCCTTAGATGTTGCAGGCCTTTAAGGGATGCCATATGATATGATACCATATAATAGAGTTCGATTAGATACTAAAATGGCACAGTACGATACACTCTACTGTAAACTTTACTCACAGTTCAGCCAACGTCTTGAGCAGCGTTCTGTTAGTGGGGTCTCTCTTCAGGTGATCATTGACCGCCTGAACAATGGCCATGTTGTTGTACAGCTCTCCAGGCCACTCCCGGATCAGTGTGGCAAAACCCTTTAAGGACAGCAGAGAAAGCAGGACAAGCTGTCAATCAAACGAACAGATTAAATCCGGGTGTGTTACATGATGTCAGGACTAATAGCGGGAAAGTACCTCATAGTCAGTTTTAAGAAATTCATGCAGGATCATTTCATAGATGGCCGGTCTGAGGCGCAGATCTCCTCGGGGTAAATACTGGCTGATGGCCTGACATTGAAAAGAGGTGGAGCAGTATTGATAAAGGCTGATACTGGAAAACACACACATAATTTTAGCTCAATGAAGTAAAAGAAATTCAGAAACAGATCCTTTACCTTTAACTGTCCGATGGTCTTGAATCTGTACACTTCATTTTCCCAGAGATCCATGTTTTTTCCGAGAACCTTTTGGCACTTCCTGCACGAAGGAGAAGCAGTTAAATCATTCACATTGAACAAGAAGATTCTGCTTTTTGACTTTAGAAGCGGTGGACATGCATGAGGCCATAGTCCCATCAATAGATACAGAAAGAAGATACAGTTTGTGAACAACATGCTCTCTTTATGTTTGAAATGTTATTCTTTACCCAGGAAATAGTGGTGTGAAATAACAAACAGATCAAGGCTACTGATTTAAGCTCTGGAGAATGAGTCAGGGACTTGAGAGTTTGAATGTCACAAAGCCTTCTAGTTCGCTTTGATTTCAGTATAAAAGGTAAACAGAATCTTCTTGTATTTTTCCAGTTTCCATGGTAACTTGGTGATAATAATTTGGATTATGTTTCAAGTTTTTTTTCCTTCTTTTGCACTTTTTGAATGAAGATAGACATTAAATGTAGGAGCAGATTATCAAATAATATGTGGCTACTGGTCAGGTGTTACCCCCCCAGGAGGGGAAGAAGTTTTTGACCGCAAAGCAGCTGCTGCAAGAGTTACAAGAGTTACAAGAGTTACAAGAGTTACAAGAGTTACAAGAGTTACAAGCGGGTGTTTTTATGAAAGGAAATATGGACATGTGGAGCCAATGAACAATGCAGTTTGACTTGGACTTTCATTCATCCTACAAGGTAACGTTAATGTCAATAAGTAAAGCCAGGTGCAGCGCCTCAGTGGCTTATCGCGTCGACTTTGCCTCTACATTGAATATTCAGCTTTTACAGAAATGTCAGAATCTTGCACTTTGACCGTGGAGATAAAAAAATAAAGACAGAGATCTCAAACCGCTTCACCACAGTGTGCACATGTACTCACTGAGAATCACGTTTTCTTGGTTTATTTTTATTGTGCTCTCTTTTGTATCTCGACATCATTGTAAATAAGGGAAACCTCAAGAATTTTCAAGGTTTAACAAAAAGGTTTAAATTAAGTGTACTTCTTAAAATATCTCATCAACACCGACTCCCTTGAAACCTCTCCAATCAATTACAATCCTGCTCATGCTCAGAAGAGGGCTGGCCCACCTGGCGGCGCTGTCATAGTCTCCTTTCTCCACTAAGTGGTTGATGTAAGCCATCCCAATCTTCTGGACGTCGTGTCTCTTGATGTTTTTGAAGCTGATTTCTGCAGCCATCAGCGCCTCCTGTCACATTTAAACCACAGTAACAGGACATGAAATTAAACTACTGTGTGTAATTGTAGACTGTGACCTTTTGTAACAATCGTAAAAATTACCAGCACAGACCTCATATTTCTTCTTCTCAAGCAGCCAATCGATGTGGTCATCTTGGTCTCGCTCTTTGGCCACAACGATGTCTTTGGGACTGATGATGTAGAAGAGCGACTCTCCCTCCGCATGCTCTGTTAATGAAAATGCATTTATGGCTCTGTCAGCTGACATTTGACGGGAGATGCGTAATAGAATCAGAGCGCAGTAAAAGGTTGTGTGACATTTCTCTGAGGGCAGGTTTTTTTTTTTTATAGTCTCACCCAGGCGGTAGTCTCTGCACTCGTTGTCTTGGAAGTTGCGCACGGTCAGCGCGTCTGAGGAGATCTCCTCGCAGCTCTCGGGGAGAGGCTGGATGATGTCGAGGCGAGGCCGTGCACGAAACTCCTCATCCTGCACACACCCACAAACACATACTACTGTTTAAAAAACATATACGCCTCTATAAAAACTAAATAAAAAAGAAGTCATCTTTACCATGTGATCAGAATTCTCCTTCACAAAGTACAGGGTGACGAGCTGATCCGCCAGCGGGGCCAGACCGCTGATGAAAAACTCGGTCTCAAATGCAGACACTGTTTTTAAGAGACAAAGAAAGAACAAACATAAGATGCTATGTTAGTAAATATGATCAATCTGGAAGTTTAAAGTGGGAACAAAGTGGCCCAATGACAGTTTTCTGTGTATGAGCTTCTGGATCTTCACTTTAACACACAGCATGCACTTCCTCAACTACCATTTATGTTCTGCACAGATAAGATGATTGTGCATTCATAAGACTGTCAGGTAACTGGCCTCAGGATTAATCCAACTTAATATCTACCTAAGGAGCAATATGTAACTCTGACACGGTACTTATATTTTAAGTCAGTCTCTAATGATTTCATCTTTATTTTCAGTCTTGCTCTATTTTCTCATTCTGGCTTGATTTTTGAAGGACTTTTTAATTTAGCTCTGAGTAAGTATAATAGGTTCATTTTCACATGCTGTGTATTTTATACCTATTTCTACGTAGCGGCTGGGCAGATCTCTCATTTCAGTGGGATTTCGCTCTTTCACAACACACATCTGAGGGGGGAAAGAAATACAGACAAAAAGTGTGAACAACTGGAAAAAAGCCTTTAACTAACAAGTGATGCATTTGAAGAGAAAAGAAGCAAACCTTAATGGAAGTACCCCAGCCAACGATGAGGGTGGTGTTGTCTTTCCAGCACAGGCTGCACGGGTACATGTCAGGCCTCAGGCTCACGTTATCCCGCAGCACGTTTGTGATCCGCTGTTTGGTGCTGATATCGTAAATTTTAACTCCCTAAAACAAATCAAGACAAAGGAAAAGATTAGCAACACTTAGAGAGAATAATGTTCTTTTTATTTGGGTCTGAGACCGAGCACTCACCACATTGTTGGCCCAGGCGATGAGGTTCGCTCTCCACTGGATGTTTGTGATCGAGCCCTCGCCTTCATGCAGCACCGACATCTTCCAGCGATTTAACCAGTTCCTTTCATACAGAAGCAGCTGGGAGAAAGAAAACAAGTACACATTTCAAAAACAACACAGCATGCTTCTGAAATGAACTGGATGCAGTTGTGCAGCCCTGCCTGCAGAGGGCAGTAGATGAACATCACATTGCACAAGAGTAGTGCTGTGTGTGATGGTGAAAACAGTCAGCTTGAACTGTAGGAAACTTTTATTTTTCACACCCGGATTGATAAAGTCGAACCTGATTTAATCTAATATGCACATTTTAATTCCACTTCAGATCTTTTAGGCACAAAGAGAATAAAGACAGATTGTTCTTTCAACTCCTTCTAAGAGAGAGAGCAGCACATTCGCTTTACATCCAGCGATAAAGGAAGTCATTTTACTCTTAGACATGGCTGAAGTAACTAAAAAGAAGACGGTAGAAAAACCTACACAGAAAAGGTTAAACATCTGATGCATTACATGCTAGATATCATACACCCTTCACCATTCATTGAGGCACTGTGAAAGCAGAGAAACACTTTTTCAAAACTCCACATTGTGTTGACTTCATACTTCACGTTTACTTTCTTGTCTTCTCTACGAGGTGTGGGAGCTCAGCAGGATGGTTCGTGTAAGGCCCGTGTTTTTAACCACGGTGCAATGTGACATCAAGGAGGTCGTAAAACTATTTTATAAATTGCAGTCTAATGTTCAGGCCGTGTATTGTGTGTGCCGTAAGCGGACAAAGCATGTCATTCACATTCCCTGCATTTTTACTGTCCTTACTTTTATAAACTGACACAAAAAAGAGCATTATATTACCAAGGATCCAGAGAGAAGGTTGTATAGGCTCTTTAATTCAGCAGTTGGGCTATGTTAATAAACAGTTTGCTCTACAAAGAGATGATATGACAAAAGAACTGTGGAGACAAAATTGAATTTCCTTTGACAGGATGTGGCTCCCGTTGAGGCTTATTGATTTTCATCACAGGCACATTGTGGAGGCCTTCACAACTTGGAACTGAGAGGAATCAGCAGCAATTGAAAGAAAATGGCAAAGTAACACTAACAATGGGGTTTCATATGAAAGTTGTTTTTCCTCACCCCTGTTGTATAAATGTCAGTTTATTTTATTTATGGATGGTTTTCATCCATAACTCCACTCCTGAGCAGTTTATGCTTGTGTAATTGGCATGTGGTAATGGAAAGGTGCTTTTTACTTCCAATAAACAAAAACAAATCTAATGCCTGAGATACTCTTACCTTCCGCAGTGACAAAACACCAGAGACAACTTTTCAGGACAGATCACTAAATGCGCCTGGAAACCCTAAGACTATGTTCCCTCTTGATAATGACATCTGCTTGCTGCGCTTGTGAAGCATTGCCTTTCAAACACTGTTGAGCGAACAGCACTTTGTGAAAATGACCAGCTCTCCTGAGAGCACTCCAGCAAAGAGACAGAAAAAAAGTAAGAGCCTTTCACACCAGACAAAAGGCTGAGCGTCGCCTTCAGCCGGGCCAAAGTGGCAAAAGGTTTGCAGGTTCCGGTTTCATCGGACACAATCAGAGGGAATTATCGTGGTAGGAAATGGGGGAAAAATGAATATAATGACTGCAAGAGTGAAAAAGAACTACTCAAACATACCTTGTTGCCCCCTGTGACAAACTGTTTGTAGTTTGACCTGGTGAACTGAGGGTGTAACGCCACCACCTGCAAGACAACACATAAAGGCAGCCTTAAGAGTATGTAAGTTTAACAGCGGACTGTATATAGATATCGACGTTGTGGCTCCATATCTTTCTGTTGTACAAAAGTGAAGCCAGCAGACAGGCGCTGACATATTGCGCTGGTGAAGTCACTTGGAGCCAGAACATGTGCAGAACGGATCCGGCTCATGGTGCCATTGGAATTAGAATATTTACAGTCTATGGTTCAACCGGAGGAGGCGGGGTTTATGAACCATATTGTAGCCAGTTGGTAGGGGGATGTTGTATGGTCCATCTTTTTTATACTATCTATGGTTAATATTTTGAGAGGCAAAACTACTTCTTTTAGATATTTAATATCTTGACAGGACACCAGAAGCATGCTGAGACACTAAATTGGAATCAAACTTACTTTGATGGGACAGTCAAAGTTCTCATGGAATCCCTCTCTCGTATAGAGCCCAAACACTTGAACCTGAAACAGAGATGAGACGGCAAAACAGCAAGCGCAGGTGAATAACTCAAAATGTCTCCTTTAATTGCTGCCTCTGCAACTATCCAGGGCCAGCGGGGGAACTGTGGTCAGAAAAAGACTTTGATTGGCTCCCTACTTCTCCACTGGGTCACCAATTAGTGGACAAGTTGATTCTTTGAACCCTGCAGGGTTTAGAAACAGGATTCCTCGACCTCAGTTGGCTACAAACAAACTCTAATGTACCTTTGGAGCACACAACATCCAGATTTTCTTCATCTCAGGCCAAAAAAGCAGGCGAATAATAAAAAAACTCTGATGCAATCTCTCTCTCTCTTTTTTTTTTTTTCTGCACCAGCGATTAAGGATTAAGTTAGATTTCCGAAGGATTAACAGTCAACTGAATTGGTGTAGGGCAATTTTTCCAGCATTGATTTTAATTGTCTGCTCCACTTTTTTGTGTGCGACAAGATCTTATTTTTGCCACCGGGGTGCTGGAAGTGAGGAGGGGTGATATCAGAGAGCATATCTTTACTGCGGAAATCCATGAAGGATGGTAGTAATGATGAGAAAAGACAAGATAACACAGGGTGGAGAACATGGAGAGGGTATCGATAGACAGATGACGGCTGACTGACAGCTCATCGGAGCTGAGTGCAAACCCTCTCCCTCTTCTCTTCACAATCTGCTCAAGCTTTTTATAAATTCCTGCATCATGAAAAAAAACTGATTTATGTGTTGATAAAGCTTCCACTTAATGCTCCCACTGCCTTCTAATTCACCAACAAATACTTCAGATCTGCAGCATTAGCATAAAGTTAGATAAGATGAGTTTTTATATGAAGCTGAGGAAGAATTATGAAAGATGAAGAATACTGATTGTTTTTTGTTTTTTTCCTCTGCAGGTCTAGGCATCAGTAACTGTCTGTAATGAGCAGAGAGATCTCACCTTCCCATCCTCGGAGCAGATGCCCACATGCTCTCCACTTTCATCCAGACTGATCTGGTTGATTTTCACTGAACTCTGCGGAGACACAATATCAAGGCATCTTTTTTTTTTTTTTTAAAGAGGCTGGCAAATATGCATCTCTGTGGCTGGAAAATGTTGCTGTCTGACATTTAACCTCACTGAAAAGCAAGAGAAACCATGAATGGAGCTTTGCATAAACTTTATGACACAAAGAAGGTCACAATGCATCACTGATGCTTTAAAAGTTTCCATTAGAACAAAATGTTTAAGCTTTTTTAAATCATAGATGGATTGTGCCTGTCATCTTTATGCCAGATAGTGTCATAAAAAATTACTTAATTTTACATATTTAAAGCCGTTTTCAGATATGCACGCAAGAAAGTATCTTTTTCAGGAGGACTGCAATTGCCCTTACAGTTTTAGGCACTTGTTAAACTATGGTGTCGGAGAGTTTCTTGTTTTTAATTATCAAAAATTTCAGGCAGGCTCACAATACATTCAGTACTTTCAGTAAAATGTACCTATTTTCTCTCTCAAAGCTGCTTCTTTTGAAACAATCAATGGCATTGCATAGATTCAGTCACATGTTAATTCAATGGTTGTGGTTCAATGTGTCTCTCTCTAAGGGAAACATTATTTGCTCATGCCATATCTGCAATTTCTCCAGTACAACAGTTTCCTACGGGCATTTGTGACACATGTCAAAATCATATTTTTTTTTTCTCTGACCGGCTCACATGTCCATTTAAGCACGACTCAGCGATGTCTTTCCTGCTCACTGAAACTCCGTCTTTGTTTCTTTCAGCCAACGACTGATAATTGGCAGTAAGTTCTTTAGATGAGGAGCACTTGAATCAATGGGCTCAGCGGGGACGCTACAGTCAGAAGCATGAGAACAGGTGCAGTAATGTCAAACTGCCCCTTTGTGCCGGACAAATTAGACTTAATTACTGAGTGTTTTTGACGTGCAAATTCAATTATTGTTCAGCATCAATCCCTTCAGATCTGTGGAGAGGCTTGTGGGAAAGTTTCAAAGTGGGACTTAAGCCCATCTAATGCAAAATACATTCTCCTTCAGCATCACTCTGCAGGCTAACATTAGCACTTCTTCTGCCTTGTCGTTGAGAGTTTTGACAATACATGCAGCTCTCCCCAAACATGATGACTACAAAAGGAGCAGTGTAACGTAGTAAAAGAAACGGCTATTAGCTTTATTGGAAGGCGCTATATAAAATCATTAAAACAACTCCCAACTCTGTGTGTTGAATATAGACATTCCTCAGCCAGTTAGCTTAGCTTAGCATAGCATACACTGGACAAAATTAGCTTAGCTTACACTGGACTCTGTTAGCTTAGCATACACTAGACTCAGTTAGCTTAGCATACACTAGACTTGGTTAGCTTAGTTTACACTGGACTCAGTTAGCTTAGCATACACTGGACTCAGTTAGCTTAGCATACACTGGACTCAGTCAGCTTAGCATACAGTGGACTCAGTCAGCTTAGCATACACTAGACTCAGTTAGCTTAGCATATACTAGACTCAGGTAGCTTAGTTTACACTGGACTCAGTTAGTTTAGCATATACTAGACTCAGTCAGTTTAGCATATACTAGACTCAGTTAGCTTAGCATACACTAGACTCAGTCAGCTTAGTTTACACTGGACTCAGTCAGCTTAGCATATACTAGACTCAGTTAGCTTAGCATATACTAGACTCAGTCAGTTTAGCATATACTAGACTCAGTCAGCTTAGTTTACACTGGACTCAGTCAGCTTAGCATATACTAGACTCAGTTAGCTTAGCATACACTGGACTCAGTTAGCTTAGCATACACTAGACTCAGTCAGCTTAGTTTACACTGGACTCAGTGAGCTTAGCATATACTAGACTCAGTCAGTTTAGCATATACTAGACTCAGTTAGCTTAGCATACACTAGACTCAGTTAGCTTAGCATATACTAGACTCAGTTAGCTTAGCATATACTAGACTCAGTCAGTTTAGCATATACTAGACTCAGGTCCAATTCTAAAGTATCTGGTGGACTGAGCTAGAGATGTTATGATCCACAGAGGCTTACACTTTCAGCTCCGTCCACAAGATAGTTTAGAAACTGAAGAAGCCTTTCAGAGGAGGGGAGGTGAAACTTCTTCAAGATCCTAATCTTAGTCCAGTTGCCTTTGGATCAAGCTTTGCATTTTCTTACCAAAGTCTTTGCTAAAGTTAGATAGTAAATATGTTTTGTCCCAATATGTCTCAGACAGACTTAAATGTATTGAATGTACTGAATGTTTTAGCATGATCACTTTTGCTGGCTTTTATTATATTTACATATTTGATAATATGATATGATAAATAATAGGGGATGAAAAGAGAAAATGACATAATTTAGGATATATAATAATAATTCATCATCAAATGATGAACATTAGCATCTGTAATTATGACTCGTGTTAATGATCAGTAGGCTTAAGTAATTTCATCATGATAATGGATTTATTGAACTGAGTCACATTTCCTTGGATATCCAGCAGGAAGACCTTTCCGAAATGAGTACCCAGGCGAGAAACTGGAAGGGGACAAATGTAATGTAAATTAAACAGAAGACATTTAAAATAAATTCAAGATTTAGGAGGAAAAAATCTAGTTCTGATGAAGGCTGTGGAAGAGGATAAAAAAAAATAGTTGCTGAAGCTGGAGCGAGCGACATGGGCAGAGTGGGGATTGGGTGGGCTTGGAGGCAAAGCTGTGAAATTGCAGGGGGTGGAAAAGCCTATTATTAAAGCATACAGTGTGAAATGGCATTTTTTCCACCCTCAAATTAAAATGCTTAAGCATAATAAATGCAGTGTACATCTGACTTCTTCCCATGCTCCCAATGCAACCCAATCACCTCCCTGCCCAGCACAGAGCTATTATTTCTACCGCGCAGCAACTGGTTTGTGTTGTGTGTTTCAACTAAAGTGCAAGTGTGAATTCATGTGTGTGTGTGTGTGTGTGTGTATGTGTGTGTGTGTACGCGAGTCCACTGGGACAAAAAAATTATAGAAACCGGGGGCTTTTGGCATTAGATTAAGTGTGTGTTCTTCCACCCCAGCCCATGCTCCATGCCCTCCTCCTAATCCCCCTCCCTTCAAGACCAGCATGTGGATGTGCGGCGAGCCCACCATGCTTCAGTGCAGTCTATAATGAAATGCTTATATTTACAGGCACAGCTGAGCATGTCAGACAGAGCCCCCTGCAATCTCCCCAAATAAAATAACCCGAAATAAATAAATAAAGGGTTCAACCTTGTGAGGCGGAGCGACTTTTAAAGGGATTTATCAGAATGGAATTGTTCAAATGAAATTCCGATTCAAACACTTAAAATATGAGGCAACATAAGGCAATGTGCGCTGTCGGTGGCTTTAAGGGATGTGGGAGTTTGTCACATTGGAGAGGGAGGGGGGGTGGGACGGCGGGACGGCACAGGTAGCTGCATGGCAGCAGGTACACAAGAACAGAAATCCCAGCAAGAAGGACAGTCAGATCAAATTTAAAATTTCAGCAAAGCGATGTCTCTCGCTGTGGCACGCCTGCTATTTTGAGGTTAAAAAAACAAGAGGGAGCAAATCCTCAAAGTAAAAATAAATAAATGAAAATCAATAGCGGTTAATAAAACATCAGGTGAGGAGACATAACTGGCTTTGACTTTTTGCTCTGCTCAGGCGTGCACGTATGCCGCTGGTGCCACAACGATTAACCATCTCACAGAGAGTGGCCTTCTTAAAAAAATATCAACATTCGACAAACAGAGGAGAGGAGCGAAATGCAAGAGTGGGAATAAAAAGAGGAGAAGACAATAGGCGTCTGGTGTCTTTTGATGCATTTTGCAGGTGGAGGTGAGAAAAGAATGGGCTGCCTATACGGATTGAGGAAAGGGGATGAAGACCAACTTTGAAGAGGACAGCTCTCCAATGTGTAGATAAATAATTTGAACTCTGTATTTCAGAACAGCAGATTTGAGGATGAAATGCCCCTGTGGATGGAGGATTGTAACCTGTACCTTGTCATGGACGGTCATACAGCTGGCTGCATCCTTCTGCAGGATTTCTGTCACTCCATTGGAGAGCCTCTCGTACTTCAGCTTGGGCTCTTCTTCGCTGTCCTCCTCCTAGTTCAGGCAGAAAAGATGGATTCATTCAATCACACTTTAAATAACGAAAGAATCACGTACTTAGGGTTGATGAGACCATAACTGCAGTGAACTTTAATATACAAGTCAGGCGTTCTCAACTGGTGGGTCAGGGTCCAAAAGTGGTTCACAGAGCTGTTGTTAGTGGATCCTGAATGTGTGCCTGGAAAAAAACTTTGAGTCAAAAAGTCTATGAAGCGTTTTTTAAATATTTTTGTTTCGTCCCATGTAAGAATTGTCCACAAATCGTCTCCATGGCGACGTTCAGACGAGATAGAACAGCACATTGATCACGAGTTCAATTGTTACACTTCAGTTTAAAACATTTAATTTGAAAACCTGACAGTTGTTGATGCTTCCTGCTGATATGTGAAGAGAGCCCAAAGTTCAAACACATTTCTGTGTTATAATTTTATGCATTTTTATTTATTTTTGCTCTTTCAATAAGAAATGCAATGTCAGGTTTAATACAGCTTTTACAACAACAACAATAACACTATTAATTACGATGAAATAAATATTGGAATCAGTATCGGTACATATGTATTGTAATCATTCTGAACTGAAAAGAAAACTGGATCGATGCATCGCTACTTAAAACTATAATCGTCACCGATGTGGGATTTTAGGGGCGGATACTGATATTGATATTAGATAGAGAGAAAATCTGATACCGATATATCGGCCGATATGTTTTTCATCTTTTTCTATGTTCGGTTTTTAGAGATAGATATAGATAAACACATTTATTGAGTTGAACCCTCAGATGCAGTTATCAAACACTTATAATATAAACAGTATAATTAAGACAAGATGGTCACTCAACTGGAAAGTAACCAAGCATGTAAGTGCATCACCACTTGGCACTCTATATTGTAATCTATATAGCGCCCTCTGCTGGTGACAGATAACTGCCAGTGTAAAACAGAAGTGATATGCTTATATTGGTCGATATTATCGGCTGACAGATTAATTAACTCTCCATTATACTACCTGTAACCAAAACTATTCACTAAAAACAGGTTTGTTTAATTCACTGTAAACTAAAAACACAAAAGCGTCATATTTGAGAAGCTGGAATGAGTGAACAATCATTGAAATGATCATCCATTAAAAGAGTCGTAAAATCATTTTCTGTTTCATCTACTTATAATGTCTACACAGTTTTTAGAGTAAATATTGCTGTATGAAAAGACAACAGGAATTGATTGTTTTCAGCTGCATTCAGACAATATCGTGTAGCAAAAGGTAATATGTACGTAATGTATTTTGGGAGTCTGGCTTTACACCCACAGTTCCCGCTGTCGCTGACACCGTGTCACTGAGCGAGACACTGAAGCGAGCAGGACCGCGTTAGCGGGGCTTCATTCTGTACGTCCTGCATGTGTGTAGCAGGAGATTAATGCACAAAGACAAATTTCCCTTATAGCTCGCGTGAAATGCAGCATAAAGCTATTCTTTCATCCCCACTGACAAACATGAATAGCGTCATTTCATAAAGCAAACTTAAAGTATTCTACTGTGTTACACCTTCCAGGACGAGCCAACATTTGCGGCCAGTCACAGCCTGAATATCCCCCATAATTCAGTTTATAACCAATGCTGCACAGTCTGTGGCTGCCCAGAGGGTGCATCAACTCAAAACATTGTCTGCCATTATGTGCTGCTGGGTTGGAGGTGGGGGACAATAGCGTGGAAAAAATGTTATTTTCAAAAACAATCCCTTCCCACTCAACAACGCCATATCGAGGCTATTTCCTGTGTATTCTGCTTGTGAGATTTCTGATGCGAGGGCATTTTGTCACAGGTTTAACGGTGCATCAAACAACAAAAAGCAAACTTCATCCCCACAGAGAAACCACCTACTTTCAAACTTTTGCCATCTCTTGTTAGTTATCTTTTTTGTTTTGTCAACTACTCACTTGGTCTTTTTTTTTCTTTGAACCATTTCTGAAAGATTTAACAGGTTGAACCAAGTCACCGGCATACAATCAGGATTCCTCTTCCAAAAACAACCCTCCACTTCCTCTCTGCCTCAGAAAACTATGTACAGCGTAGTGACAAATAATAGAACAAACGAAAATTGGGAAAAAAATGGAAGAGCTTGAAAACTCTTTTTGTGTTTGTACTGAATATTTTTGCAGTAAATAAAGTGGAAACCTAACAGCACTGATGTATCCATAAACTGATTATTTAATATTTATTAAACTGCTTAATGAAAATCAACTGTTTCGATAATCATCAAAATGATTCTGCATGTGCTGTTTGAATTTGTGAAGACAATATAATTTATTTTTGTTTAAAAGTCACAGTGAGTTAGATTGTGTGCAACATGTCTGTTGTGAAATTATTTGAATCCACTGCACTTAAGAGTTCAAATGAAACCTTTTGCATGGACTATGTGGATTATTCAGCACGTTCAGGCATCAAAACAAGACAAAGCCAAACCTATCAGACTAGTTGAGCCACATTATAAAGGTTGTGAAGAGCATGTATCTGACTGTCAAAATCTTAAGTTATTTTCTAGGGCCTTTTACCTTTTGCCCATTAGATAGGACAGCTGAAGAGAGGAAGGAAAAGTTGTGACGAGATAGTGGGGGATGACATGCAGCACAGGGATGAGGTCGGATTCAAACACACGTTCATTTATTCTGTAAGTGTAGAACACAGGTACTCACTGAAGTCGTCAAGTGAGACTGCTGCCAACAAGGGAACAGCAGCAGACCCAAAGTAGGCTTCAATAAACCGCAGCATTCAAAGTAAATAATAAATACAATTATAAATTATAATTACAATAATAAAAGATGTTTTTAGCCTGTTTGAGACAAACAACCATAAAGTACGAAGCTTGTATCGACCAAAAAAATGATGTAGGAGCTCTTTCTAAAGAAGTATGAAGTTTTCTTCATTCTCCTCTCTTGCCCACTCTTTATTGTTTTCCTTCTGAGAGGTGCAAGCATCCGCTGCAGCCTTTCCCTAATATTTCATTCTCTTATTCCTATAAAAGACAATCTCCTTCTCCTGCAAAGCTTACGTGCAAAGCTATATTTTATTTAGCCTACTTGTAATTCTCAGAAGCACAAGTGTACTCAAACATGCCCAAGCTCAGTCTTAATACTGATGGATCTGGAGAGCCATCTGTAATTCATGAGTGTTTGACACCTCTCAAAACCTGACAAAGATCATTCTGGGATCAGGTGGGAGTTGATAAAGGCTTGCAATGGAGTAAAGTCCATTCGGTGGGCAGCGAGCTTTATTTGAGTTCAGAAATCGCCCATGCCTGACAGAACTATGCACACGCCTGTCATCATCAATATGTTGCTGTAGATCAATTCTGTAACTGACAGACTGCTGCAACTACAAGACATTTTAGGTGTAAGTTTACTCACTCTCTTTACCTTTATATGAACATTTCCTCTGTGTGTGTGTGTGTGTGTGTGTGTGTCTGTGTGTGTGTGTGTGTGTCTGCAGGAGGACTAAAGATCAACACATGGTGTGTTTCTTACCTCAGACTCATCTGTGAACTCCTCACTTGGTTTTCTGCCCTGAATAAAGAGATATTTTAAAAGGGACGTGAAAAATAAAGACTGTATAAAAGCACCAAACCACACACAGCAGTGACATCACACTTGAACAGGCTCTGGAGATTACACAGATAAGACTGTTTTATTTACAAAAGATTCAGCTATGATATCAAAGCAAATCTACTACACAGCGAATGTATGCTTTCTAGGTGACAGAGCCTGTTATATTACTAGATTAACTAAATCAAAAGGCAGCTTACAGAAGTCCAGCATCACGTTTCTCATTCATTTTGTAGCGTATAGTTACCAAAACAGAAAATTATCCAGCTAACGTTAGCATGCTTTCCTTACCTGCTCCTCTACTTCCGCCATTATTCTACGCTGTGTCCGCGATTAATAACTGCAATATCTCAATTTGTATTTAGGAGATGCATATTTAATGTCCAAAATGCCGCAATTGTAGTTATTTCATATCAAGAACATCCACTAAACAACAAAGTTGATGTTTGTTGTCGGAGCTCTGGCTGTCATAAGTTAAATCACATGACTCAGAGTCAGAGCAGCGATGCATCATGGGTAATGTAGTCAATCCGACGGAGGGAAGACGCCAACCAACCGTCGATAGGTGAAGTGAGAATTCATATTCGCTTTTCCACAGCGTGTTTATTTTTTCCTTCAGACATATTTTAGTATTCCTTTCACGGTTGCTTCTGCTCGGTCAAAACTGTTGAGCGTGTTTTTCTCTTGTGTTCATATTTGAACACAAGTTTTCTGGACAGTTTGCATTGATGGTGGTAACCTAACCGTGTGCCTCTTCTTTTTTTTTTTTCTATCTAAAGCTCAAATGTTTCACTTCAAAGGTGTTTTAAAAATGGGGCTGAAACCCACAAATCATAACTTGATTAACACTGATGGTTTTATAGGCCAACTTTAACGATTTGAAACGATGCCAAAAATAGTAAATTAACTTCAGAATATAAGCCCTCCATCACTTTCCGAAAGTGGATAAAAAAGTTGATGGCTGCTATGATGGAAGAAAGTTAATTTCATACACTAATTTAAAAGTAACTTAAAAGCTGCTGAATTTATACTTTAAGTTAATTTAGACTCATCACATAAGTATTGTGTGTTTTTTTTTGTTTTTTTGTTTTTTTCAATGTTGTAAAGTTTCCTCCAAATATCTAACAGCTGGGTTTATTTTAGACCAACCTGGGAATAAGTTGGGATCCTCTGGGGGGTCATGAGACACCCAGAGGGGGGTCCCTTGATGCCTTGCTTTGCTTCAACCCTCTCCAAGAACCCAGGGGGGCCCCCATGTCTCTAGCGCCTTTATTAATGGGGCTGCAATCTGAAAGTTTTTGAACCCCTGGTTTAAACAATACACATTGTATGTAAACTTCAACTTTACAAAAGTACATGTTTACTCTCAGTTAGACAATATCAAAATACTAGATTGCAAATAATTGTAGTGGTGTTGTTGTTGTTGGTATGTTCAGTGAAATACGGTAGTATACAAAACATGACAACTTACTTTCCATAGTGCCTCCTTCAGAAAGTTTTATAATTACTGATTATTATTATCTCTGCAGTTTTAATGTCGCCTCAGGGACAAATTGAGATTGGTTTAAAGTCTACCTTTTCCCTTAAATAATATCCATACAGAGCAGTGAGATCAAAATCCTAATCTTAAAATGATCTGTTGAGCTATCTTGCTGTATCTTTTATGGCAGTAAATGAATTTGTTTTGTATATTTGCAGACATTCCTGGACTCTGTAGCCGGATGTATTCCTCAGATAGGAGTCAACTATCCTGGATCTCGACACACCGCATGCTGACAGCTGCTTCCCAGAGTCCAGATGAATGCCAAAGGTATGATTTGCCTCTTCTTTATTGAGATTGTCTCACACCCCCATCTCGCCTCATCCATCCTCCGGAGAATCCTAATGCACCGATACCGAGGGGGAATAATTTTTTTTTTTCTTTACAATCTACTTAGCAATGATTTATTGATTGCGGCTTCCACCCTCACAGAGAATTACCGATCCTTTTTGGGAAATCAGATTTTCACACCTTTCATGAGTGTGTATGTGGCGCAGGTCTCCCGAGACAGTGCGAGGGGAAACTGACTTTGAGGAGCAGCCGTGTGTGAATCTCTGTGGTGTCACTCTGCTGCTGCCAACCGTATACCCAACGGATGGGCCTGTGATTCTCTGCTGCTCTCTCTATAGTTTTGCATTATTTAGAGGTTGATAAATACAGTGTCCGAGCTGGATTTCAATATGTTTCCATTCCCTTTCAAACCCCTTAAAAACACACACTCCCATGGTAAGCATGCAGGAGCCCCTCCGAGGTATAAGCAGTTCTTAGAAAACAAAAAAAAAGAAAAGCAAAAAATAATAAAAACAACCCCTGCCCTCATGGGAGGAGTCAGATTAGTGCGCTGAAAGCTTTGATGCTCCAGAATGTCAGCTCCGTGGATCGATCCAGCAAAAAACACACACACACCTGACCAATCAGAGGCGTCTATGTGTTGTGGACCTGCTGGGCACCGTGGTTTACAAGCTTCAAAGAGCTCCTTTTAATACACTGCTTTGATAGCCCTCAGCCTCCACTGACCCGCCGACCAGCACTGGGGAGCATTTTAGCTTTGGCGGAGACGGATAACGGCTGATCATATTAATGAGTGCGTTAAAAAAATAAATAATAATCACCTCAAATGTTGACTACTTAAACCGCTGGGATGCTGTCCCAATAGAATGCATAAACAGGAGAATTTAAATTTAGATAAAGACAAATTAAGCGTGGTAATTTTATAGATAAAACAAGATATTATACTGAATTGTTTTAAGCAATAGTAGATCTGTGCATGCACAAAGATGCTTTGGAATGTCACTGAACTACAAAAGTGCCCGAGTACACCATGAGAGAGGAACAGTTTGGTTAATGACCCTAAGGGGGAGACAAATCATCATCTACCACCCTGCATTACACAAAGAGGGTCTTTGAATATTTGCCCAACAGAGGAGCTGAACACAGAAGGACGATTTATTTCAAACTGTTGCTTTGAAGTTTGTCTAGTTAGTTGTCTATTAACACGATTAAAGATGTGTGTATTTAAATAGTCTTTGGTTTAAAGACAATAAAAAAAAAACACATCATATGTTTGAAAGCAGAGTCTTCTGTAGTATTATAACAGAAGTACATAATGTAGTTAATTCAGCGTGCAGTCTTGCATGCTTTTAATGTTTTTATTGAGCTCCCTCCCGGGCTGTTCATAAGTTTCTTATCTAGTATCTATGGCTGTAGCTGTTATTATTCTAATCTGTTAATCAATCAATCAAGTCACTTGTCTAAACTCAGTAATATCCCAAAGCCTTAGAGGATGTATTTATCTACTCATCAGCTTAAAACACTTTTTTACCTAAAAGGCCTAAAACAACTAACACGTGACCTTTTGAATAGCTGAGTCTGGTACTAGAATAAACACTCTGGTACCAGACAGTGTTTGCTGTTTTTGCTCGAACTAATACTTCAGGGGTTAAAATAGTTGTACAATTAAGTGGCTGAATGGTGTAGCCTAGTGGTTAGTTCACACGCCCCATGTACGGAGACTGTAGTCCTCCAAGCGGGCAGCCAGGGTTCAATTCTGACCTGTGGCTCCTCTCCTGAATGCCATACCTCCCTCTCTTTCTCCCAGTCTCTGACTCGATCCACTATCCTATCACCAAAAAGATTTAAGGCATGAGTAGCCCAAAAACAAATGTTTCTGTCAGTCAAATGATGTACTGTTTAAGTAATTGTTTCAGATCTACAGGTATGTCTGTTTTCTGAACCCTACAACCCCAACTTGACCAAGATTATTTGTCCGTTTTGATATCATACGAGTAATATCTAAAGGAGGCTAAACTGGTTTAGTTTCACTCACTGCAGTCTCTAAGTATTGATTCAACAGCTCCTGCTCTCGACCGTCGTTCACCCCTGTCTCCTTATTGGTTCAAATAAAAGAGGTCATTGTGAATAAGATAGAAACAAATAAAACATGACGACTGGTTGATGAATTGATATTTATTTTGTTTAATAACCAGAGGAGCCCGGAGTGTTGGAGCTGAGTGTACCAGTCCCCCGCTGAAACCCCATCTCCCTCACACTGGGACAGCACTGGTAAGACCACCAGCTATTAGCATGGATATCTGATGACTCTCTGCTAACCGCTGATTATTTGGCCACTGGGGGTGTTTGGTGAGTGTGGGGCAGAGGCGAGGGGGGCTGAGTGCTTTTTCTTGTTTCGGCAACCTGTTCCTGAGCTGTGGCGAGACTGAGTGAGCAGAGAAGAAATAAGACAAACCATCTCCCTCATGTCTACGCACACACACACACACACGATCACACTCTCATTCTGTCTTTAACCAGAGGTCTGAGGGTCACTCTAAAAAATGAAGCTAATCCGTTACACACACCACTGCTTAGAATCAGTAATGTAATTTCTTATGTTAATTTTTCAAATATCCCTTTTTATTAGGGATTCTTACAATACGATTATAGTTATCCCATTATGAGTAATTGCATTACTCCCTGAGCTTAAATGAATAAACACGCCCAATTTGGCGGCAGGATTGCAAGCAGGCGAAGCTGGCTGTTTTGAAATGAAGTAATTAACAGCTGCGTGAGATACTGAGAGATGAGTTGCCCCCTTATCCCGGAGCCTCAGAGGCCAGGGGAAGATTAGAGCTCTGATCTCATTCCCAGCACTTGTTTGGAGTCTGTCAGGAAGAGAAATGCCAGCATTAGAGAGGTACCGCCACACTCCTGATATGATGAAATAAGGAGAAAAGGGGAAAGGGAAAAAGATGGAGGGATGGACAGAAAGGCCCCTGCCCTTCTCTGAAGTGTCAGTAGCTTGTTTATTCTATTTTTCATCATAGCTGCTGGGGCAAAGATTCCCATTTTTCCTTTATTTTTTTTCCCCCCCACCTCGAAACAAAAACCACTGCTCTCATTTTTTATAAGGTCTTGCAAACTCTCATGCCCCAGTGAAAATTACATTGTGAAACGGTAGAAATTTCCAGTGCTGCCTGTGCTCTGCCCTGTCCCTCCGAGCTTTCAAACAGTCAACAGACTGTGAAGAATAAATAATAAAAAACTATTGATTATTTTGATGACTGCAAGATTCAATTAGGTATTAATTTTGCCCTCCAGTGGACCTATCAAGCAACTCAAAGGAGAGGGGCTGGGGTGTGGGGGGGGGCCCCAAATGCATGCAGAGTGCGGCCAAGCTCAGACAGAGGGGAAAATGTGTTTACCTCGGCGGGCAGAGAGGGGCATTGATGCGCAGTGTCCCGCATTTAAGTGCTCCACAAATGAAGCGCTGATGACTAGTGACATTGTTACCAGGGATATGAGTATTGACCAGCCGGCTCACACTTTTAACGACAGCTTAAACTATTCCTATTGATTAACATTTTCATAGATTATCATGTGTCATATCAAAGAGGGCTGACTCCCGTGATGAGCACATTAAAAAGGCCCCTCCAGGCAGGAACTCATCGACCACCCTGATAGAAAGTGGGTGGGTGGGTGGGTGGGGGGGAGTTGATGGGTGTAGGGGTGAGACGAGGCTCATCCAACCTTTTTTTTGTTTTGCTTTTCTGTCCCTATATGCACCGCTCACCTGTCCTTTGCTCAGATATATTTAGGTTGGACTTGATTCATAAATAAGAAAAAAGGGCCCGAGTCCTGCTGCTCTGTGTCTGCGTCTCAGAGCCTGAGGTGGGGTGAACACTGTCTGAGGAGCTCTCCAGTCAGAAGACACAAGGGGGAAGAGACAGAGGGACTGAAGGAGGGAGGGAGTGTGTGAGGGAGGGAGGGAGGGAGAGAGAGGAGGAGGAGGAGGTGACATCTCTCCAGTGCCCGTCTAAGGAAGCAACCTCAGGCTTGAACCTGCGGTGGCCACTCAGATACACAAAGGTTGTGCAGGCTGCTTCTGGTTCAGCAGAAAGCATGTGCTAGCTGGTGGTGGCATGTTTTAGCTGCTCTTTAGACTCACTTCAACATTCGGACTTTCTGAAACAATTTTTTTTTTTTTTTTTTTACTATTTCCTTCCGGAGCTTTTTTTTTTTTTTTTTAGGTAAGAGAACATTTCCCACCGCTTTTTTAGAAACTTGAATTATTACGTTCTTAAAAGTGAACAAGTATCCTAGTTAGTCTCAGATCTTCAGACCTAAATTTAAGCATTTTAACCTTTGATTTAACCTTTATTAAGATCTCTTAAACGTGTTTATTTTTTTGGGATATTTAAATATTGTCTTCAACTTATTACATTTATTCTCTTCCAACACGTTCAGACAGATAATACTCCGACCATGTCACGGAGATGATGTCCATTATTGTGCTTAAGTGCTGACAAGAAAAATGAAAATAATTGGGAGAAAAATTTGGGAACATCAGCGACTTCACCTGTCATTTAAATCAGGCCTTAACTTCATGTTGCCTCACACTCTGCTGCATAATGTCACCATTGATCTCATTTTGTGTCCCTAAATATGTGTAAATTGATGTAATCACTGGTGTGTATTTTTCCATCCCATCTTTGGATGTTAGAATGATATTTATTTCATGTTTTTATCAGTGCACAGCCCATGGAGCTCTTTGTAGGCTGCTGTCAGCTTAGTGTTTGCTGAAGATGAGGCACATGTCAGGTAGTAATGAGCCCTTGGAGATGGATGTATCACCGTTTTAGGACTGCAGGGTATAATGGTAAAGCCACGCGATCCGTAACAGTTCTTCACCAGGCAGCAGCCGGCAGTATCAACGGGGAAGCACCAGACTCAGATAAAAGAGAGAGCTGGAGAGGGAGGGAGCAGGAGAGAGAGAGAGAGAGAGAGAGAGAGAGAGAGAGAGAGAGAGTGTGTGTGATGAGAGAGCAATAGAAAGGAGAAGCTGGGTAGAGAGAGTGAGTAGAGACATAGAGAAGGAGCCGGTGAGGCTGAGACGCCGAAGCACATCTAACCACGGGTGTTTTTCTCTTTTATTTTCCTCCTCCCTGATTCCCACCTGGGCTCCCAGCTCCCTCCAGGATCCGATGATTACAGGGCAGCTGAGCAAGCCGCTGCTCTCCCTGCGCAGCGACATGAGCGTGGCAGAACTCCGGGCGGACGACAAAGCGGCCAGCCCAGACAGCGATCTGAACGACGAGCCCTTGCTCCTGTCCTCTGAGGCCACGGACAGAGACGGCACCCCCAACAAGCTGTACGGTAAGTCGGCTAAATCCTCCCGTTTGTCCCTGTCGCTCGGTAACGCTGCTGGCTGAGGGCTGTTTCAGGTGAACACAGAGGGGCTTTCAGTGCTGGGACAGGTGACAGCAGTGCAAACTAAGTTTTAAGTGCAAAGAGAAAGTCGACGTTCGGCTCCTTTTTAAGCTTCAATGTCTGCAAAGAAAAGAGTTTGAATGTCATATTTGTGTTTTCAGATATTTCTTGAAACTTCTGCCCTCAGGTTATTTTTCAAAAAGCAGTTCATTCCTGTAGTCAGTCGTTATAACTTTAAAGTTCATAAACTGCAGTAAAGAAATGTTTCAGTTAGTTTTCTCTCAGTCTCTTACATTTAAAAAAAAGCAATAGAGGATCATTTTGATGTTGTGTATTTTATGAAGCAGGATGCAGGTCCGATGACTCTCCTTTGTCTGAAAAGTATTTAAAAGTTTCTCTAACACTTTAAAAATAATGAAGTATATTTTCTTCTTTCCCGTTTTAAACCCTGCTGCTGCTTGAAATCTACTTTCCCATAATTCAATTGGACAAAAGGTTCTTGTTCTGATGTGAGCTGAGTTAAGGTGAAGGGGTTACCATGACGATAAATGATAACTTCAAATATTAGAGTCTAAAAACTTCTACTGCTTCATGTTAATTTATTATTATTATTATTTTAATTATCATCAGCTCAAGATTATTCTTTCCACATAATTAAGAAGCCTTTTTATTTTTATTTGATTTATTTTTTCTTTTTGGTTAATTAAATGATCTTTTAATCTGTCTCCATCACCGGTTGCTAATGCTGTGTCTCCGTCAGCGTGCCTTGTTAATTTAGCAGTCATTATTAATTAAGTTTACACCTTATTATTTTGGCTTTTTCCCAGAATTGGTTTGTTTTTGTTTTTTTATTAGTTGGCTCTGTTTCAGTCATGTGGGATCATTTAATCACTGGGCCTCATTATGAACCAATGAGCATCCTTCTATTAATTAACATTTTAATAGCTTATTATTTAAAAAGAATTTCTCCTGATGAGAAAGGCTGTGAAGTTATTTTCCCCCCTCATCTTGCTTTTATCAGGTTTTTAAAGTTGTTTTAATCAAAAATATTTACAAACAGAATTTCATGAGAGCCCATTTAAAGCAGCTCTGACGGATTTCTCCCCATGGAGAGAGAAACACAAACAGAACACAGGAACACACACGACCAGTCAAAAGTTTGGACACACACAATAAAATAATTATCAATGATACAGAATAATATATTATTATAATAAATCTACTGTAAGCTGTGTGTAGGGCACACCTACTGATAGAAGGGCGTTTATTTACTTTGACTATTTTCCACATTTTAGAATAATTATAGATATTAAAACAACAAAATAAAACCTTTCATTTTTGTTTTGGAAAGAAATGTAGGCATCAACTTCACTATTTCTATTTCCATGAGAAACACATGTCAAACATTTAAGCGAAAGCCTTTAGATGTAAATGTCTTTAAGATAATAACATTTCAGGTGTTTCCAAACATTTCACTGTAACTAAATAAATACTTCACACTTCTCTTTAGTATCAGTGAAAGGTCTCCAGCTTTCCAAAGCAGATTCTTCATTCAATCTATTTTTCTGTATTTCAGTAGATGGATATAGGAAGAGAGAATTGAATGACCCCCTTTAAGAGCTGAATGAGAAACTCATCTCCATCATTTACTCTTTTTTATGACTGCATGAAAGTGACAGGAATAAGTGTTCCTCTTTTACATTTTTGATACAGCGTCTGATATCCCCTCTGCTCCTTTATCTGCTTCAGTGTTTGAAATGTTAACTTGTGTTTTTATGCCTCAGTGTGTGTTTGGTTAGGACACGTGTGCATGTAATTGTTATTAATTAATGCTTCAGTGCACAAAGCCTCATTTTTGAATGTGTGGAAAATCTGTATGAGTGAGGCGGTGTGTGTGTGTGTGTGTGTGTGTGTGTGTGTGTGTGTGTGTGTGTGTGTGTGTGTGTGTGTGTGTGTGTGTGTGTGTGTGTGTCTGCTGGGATGTTGCAGTGTGCATTGTGCAGTTCTTGTTCTGTATACGGAGCTGAGCAAAACATTGTGAACAAAATAAAATAAGTATTTTGCAAAGGGCTGGCCATATATTTATGTCAGATTGAATCAGAGAGAGAGTTCAGATGTTTTTGAGCGCCTTATTTCTTAATAAGCTGAGGCTACAGTCTGCTTTTAAACACACACACACACACACACACACACACACACACACACACACATACACACACACACTCTCTGAGCTGAAATGCTGCACAATTTCAGTCCGATGTGTTGCAATTTGGTTTAATAAGCATCAAGTTTTTCTTCATGCCTGACCAGTCTTCATCTGACTGCGCTCGTGCTCCTCACTTAATTTGCTTTTTGTCTCATAGACTCACACTTTGCTGTTGATTTTCACTCCAGCTATTTTAATTGTATTAAACTGATGCACCTCTCTCAATGAGACATGTCTTTGATGAACCATGCACAGCTTTTGAACATGTTGCTAATTTCTGGAACCATAGGATTTTTTTGTCTCTATTTTGTGAAGGTGTTTGCTTTCCGTGTGCTGCATGCGGTCGGTTGAAGCTGCTCGCTGTAACTTGTGAATTTGGGAGAGGATGGTTTCTCTCCGGCCCGGTGGCAGAGCCCTGGGCTGTGCCAACGGCAGGCTCCGGTTTGGGTACCGCTGCCCACATGACCTGACAGAGAGAGCGGCGGGGAGTGACGAGGAGTTGTGGTACAGTCGTGTCTTTCTGCTGGAGGAGAAGAATAAGAGAGAGTGAGGAAGGGGGGGGGGGGGGGGGTGAAGAAGAGAGACTCAGCATCTTTCTGTGTATTTCCTTAAATGCTTCCTGACACTAAAGAAAAAGTGTTCTGAAAGTTACTGGTCATTCACATTTTCTGACTCAGTCAGTACTCAGTAATAAGGATGTGACTCGTCCTGATGCAGAGAGCGATCGTTGTTTAGTTCAAGTTTGAAAGAGAAATTTGAAAAATACAGTCGAGTTTAACCAGGTCGACATGTTTTAAAATAATACAATTTCCATTATGTTAGTGATCTAAAGCAGTGGTTCCCAACATCCTTGGAGATTCCCCTACTTGTTTCTTAGAAAAGCTAACCCCCCCCCCCCCCCCCCAGGATCCTCACGAAAAA